TGAGGCGCGGAGGTCATGTCACTCCCGTACCGCTGCTGGGCTGCTGGACGTGTTCATCAGGAAGCAGTGTGAGTGAGAGGGAAAGCAAGCTGATGGGGGGTTACTCCCGGGTTTGCGGAATTCAAGCATTTTTCAGGTACGCATGGTCAGGAGCACCTCTTGCCGTTAGGCGAGGGTGCTAAATGGACATACGTTATCTACTTTTTCATGGCTTCTGATAAGATTTAAACTTCTTGCATTGATGATGCAAACAGTTGTGGCCTAGTGCCGTCATGTGGACTCTTTCACGAGGTGTGTTGGACAGCGTTACCCCGATTAATTCGGGGTGGTGGCGGGAATTTAATGCCCGGGATGTCGCGCAACTGCCTTTGTGGGTTTGCTCCACCGCTGACGGCGGTAGTGTCCAGCTGTTTGCGGACACATGCGAGCAGTTAAATCCTATCAGTAAATGGCACGCTCCGCCCGTCATATGACGGACTCCTCGTGAGGGGGGTGTGATTAGCCATGCATTTCAGGTGACTACCGGCATGTTGCGATAGCAACTATCCGGTGCCACTTTGGCTCAAGATTTTGGGTTCCGTCGCGCCTCGAATGGGCGTCGCCGAACCCCTGCGTCGACCGACGGCATCTCGGGGGAGAAAGAGACCTCGGGCCGCCGCCAGGTTGGTAGGGACCAGTCGTGCGGCCTGTTGTCGACCAAGGTTGCGGGTTAACCCTTTTCTTGTTTGGTTTGTTTTCCTTTGGTTGTTGTTCTCTGGTGTGTGGGAAACCCTGATCTTTGGGACCGGGGATTGGTTTGCTTTTGGGGAACCTTTCTTTTGTGGCTTGTTTACCCCAACTTACCCATTGCCTGGGCACAGGCTCGTGCCCGAATCACATTTTGATTACCCAGCGACACTCCGGAATTTTGGGTTTGTTTCAAAATAGACCCTCAAAATTGGTGGCTGTCCATTTCCCCTTTTCAAGCCACCCCAAAGAAAGTGCCAAGCCTCAAAGAAACACGAGCTTTCTAAAAGCTGTGCATTTGGGCCCTTTCAGGCTGAGGTCGGGTTAACTGATATTGCCTTGTGGAGAGCTGAGATCTTAATTGGAAACTCCGAACATTTGACGTACATGGGGTTGTCTCAAAATTAGGGGAACCTCCAAACCTGGTTGCCAACATCCACCCAAAAAGGGTACCCTTCGCTACAACAACAAATGTCCCACCAACGGTTCAACGCCAGGAGGGTCCCGACGCACAGCTCATGGACCTGGACTCCTTCACGGACGGGAGATACGAAACCCTCGCATGGTCGATCAGACATGACTCGCTTCTTGCGGGGTGGGGTTTTTTGGGGGTCCGTTGAGTTTTTCAGTTTTTGTTCAAGGCGTTTGACGGCTTGTTTTCTGGTTTTGCAGTTTTCAGGTGTTTCCGTTTTTTCTTCTTTATTTTCAACTGACTCACGCGGGATTTTGGTGGTGTAGAGCATGTCGAGCATCTTGTCCACTGAGCCAAGAGCTGGTTTAGACCCGTTTCGCAGCTCGGGGGCGAGGGCGAGCGCCGCTGTGAGGAGATCATCTTCACTTATGACGTGTCGTGGGTGTACAGCGCGGGGCCCGGGAGTCCAAAAATCGGATCGATAGGTTCCCGCTCGGATTGGCTGATTGGCCCTCTGGGGTTCGCAGGGTGTCATGAATCCCAACCGGTGCGAAGTGGATGTTGTTCACAGTTAGCAGCCGAAGAGTGCGCTGGTTGCTTTTTCTGGGTTCGCTGGACGAGGCGGAAGCTGCCCAAACTCCCCATGTCCTCTTGGGGAAGCATGTGAGACTCGAATCCCCCCCCCCCCCCGCCGCTGATCTTGATGTGCGATTGCCGTTGGTGATTGTTCCCCAGTTTCTATGTATGCTTGGTTGCTTTGCTGCTTGGTTTTGGTTTGCTCCCACATATCAGACCCCATGGTTTGCAAACAATGCGGACTGCCGCGCTTCGTTGGAGGTCCCCGGTCCAACCCTCGCTCTTGGGAGTTTTGCCGGAGCCCAACCGAACCCAGACCTCCAACCCCATGTCCAATGGCCTTGCGCACGCGTGGCCTCGCCTGGCCTTGCGAGGCAATCTTCGGTGGGTGACCATGTGGGACAACTACCTGAAGAGGCGGGGAAGGGGAATTGCTAAGAAAGCGGGGGGAAGTTGAAGAGTGAGATACCCTGCAAACAACTGTCGGAAGGAACCCCCCCAAAAGTGGGTCCGATTCCCAAGAGGAGTCTCCTCTACAAAGGGTTTGCGGGTTCTATGTTCTATGTTAGTTTGCGTGGTTCCCACATTTTCGTTGCTAAAGGAATCCCAGCAACTTGGAACCCTAAGAAACCAAGAAAGGGCACCCCATTGGGACCATCCCCAAAGCCAGGCCATTGCAGCGGCTGAGACCCGAACGGCTTGGTTTTGACGCCATTTGAGTGTTCTGACTTCTTTTGGGGGGTTGGTGGCAAAAGGTTCTCCTGCCCATTTGGGATCCATTTTCAGACACCGGAGTGCCTATGCCTGGCAAAAGGGGTTTGGTTTCCAAGGTAAAGACCAAATTCAAATGGAAGCCGCAGAGCTGCAGAGAGCATCAGCGCGGATGCTGCCAGCGTGCCAGCGAGGACGGGGGACAAGATCCACTGGTTCTCCATCTTGCCGCTCGGGCAGCAAGTGCTTTGGGGGGTTCTGCCGTGTTTCTTGTTCTCCCTCGCTCCCGGACTGCGCGGGACGTTGGTCACTTTTTGAGACCATTTTGGCGGCAGGCAGAGCTCTTGCTTTTGGCCCCACTCAGGAAGTGAGAACTTGACGGTTCCCAGCCATACCCTGTGAACTTTCATTTTACAACACATCTCACTCAACGTGGGCATTTTTAGCAAGGGATCAACAACAAGATAGGAGCCCCCTCCAAAAGGGTAGGCCATTTGTTGCCTTGGAGCCATCTTGGTATGGTGCGGGAGGTTGAATGCTTGCCCTTATTGAATTAAAGGCGCGGCTTTGTTGTCTGTATGTTTGTGCTACTGGTTTGGCATTACAGGTTTGTTACACAAAATATAGTACACCGTGTTGGTTGTCCAGCATGTCCCTGCATACTTCAAACATGTTGGCGACAAAGGAAATTATAAATGTTGATATCACAGGAACGGTGTGTTTTATGGATGATTCATTTTCCGGACAATATCACAACAGGGGCCTACACGAAGACAATGAGACGCCTTACAGTAAAATTTGCTGAACAGGGGTTCCTGATTTGCCCCTGGACCGCCCAAAGTTGATCATATTCCTGGAGCGCTAGCCGTCGACAAAGCGATGCCAATCATTTGACAGGGTCGCCTATCTTCGGACACCTCCGTTCGGTGAACCCAAAGCACAACACGTTTGAACCTGGCAATTGCCCCCGTTGGGGTCATGATCCTTGCAGATTCCTACTGCAGCTTCTTGGCTGTAGGCCTTTTTTTCAAGGTCGACTGGATTCCCCTAAGGCAGATGGAACTTACTGGTGACACACCTCGGGGTTTGCCTCCTTTGGGTGTGCTTTGTGCCCGTTTTGGGGCCGGTTGAAAAGAACAACTCCGGGGGTATTTTCCTATGACACATACGCATTCGGCAGCTTTCGCGCAGTGGCCTTGGCCCCTTTTCCAACTTTTCGTCAGGTGGGCCCGCTTGAAATCAACAGCCAAAAATGGACAATCGGCGTCTTTCTTTTTTTCCCTGGCCACTGGCGGTCTGGGATACACTCGCTCTCTCTCTTGACTATTCTCTGTTCGACAGCTTTCAGCTTTTGGCCCATGTGTCCTGGGTCCAAAAGGATCAGAGGTCCCAGGAATGAGATCCATGCGAAGAGCGCGCCCGCTTTCAGCGTCGTCCGTCGGAGCACGTCCGCGATCGAGGAACTCCCTGATGATCATGCTCTTCCTCTCGGGCATGGCGGGGACTTTTTTTGTCCGGGGAGTCTTTCTTCGCCGGGTTTCGCCGGCGAGCCAGAGACCCGGGTTTGGCAACGGTGTGTTCTCCTGAGATCTAGGGACCTGTTTCAGAGAGAGAGAGAGAGAGCCTTCGTAGGGGTTTTCGATACATTTTTTGTTCAGGAGGCTGGTTCCCAAAAGCAGGCCCACATGGGGCAGTGGCACTCAAACAGCAAACAAGTTAGATGTTGGTACGGTTTGTGTTGGAAGTTGTGGGTTTTGGAGGGTGGGCTTCTGGCAGCTTTCCTCTTAGCTGGAAACGACCCATTTTTTTTCCCTCGGAGGGGAGCTTCTTGTCACGAGCCAAGGTGGGTCACCGGTTGTGGGAGTAAACCCCTCAGACCTAATTGTGTTGGTCGAAAATCGATTCCTGGCAGGTTGACCTGGTTGTTTCATCTACCAGGGCCATCCATTTTCTGCAAACGACACCTGTAGTGGAGGGTGTTTCCCTTTAGAGTTTCAACCAGGGCCATCCATTTTCTCCAAAAAGTGTTTCCCTTGCGAGAGTTTGAACGACCAAACCGCCAAAGGGGTCCTTTCTTCCCGTGGCTGGAGGTCTTGTGGACATTCGCACCCCGTGAGCTTGGCTCAGCTCTCGAACTCGACACTCCGGGCGCATGCCACGCAAACCCAGGTCTCAACCATCGAGCCCAGTCCATGCGATGTTTGACTCCAAACATATTCAGCGCATCCCAGGCATCCCAGGCAACTTGCCTCCTGTAGTAGGCAACCCTTCGCCATGTTCCTTTTGAAAAGTTTGGTTTTGAACGGCTGGCAAGCCCTTAGTTATGCAGGGAAGTGGAATCACTGGGACAGTGTCTTGTTCCTTGTATTTACCATTGTTTCAGCCACCTCCATTAAGTTACCATTGTATGGAGGCCCAAGGATGGGGATTCCCGAAGGCTCCCTCTTCGGAACCTCTTCGGAACCTCTTCGGAACCCTTAGGTACCCTCAACTGCCAACCCCCCCTTACCCCCCTTGAGGATTCCACAGTTTTTCACCCCCCGCAACCCCCCAGCCCCCCGCAACCCCGCAAACCCCCCCCCCCGCGCCCAAAGACCTTGAGCCATGGGCCCCCGCCTGGACCCGGAGCCCTTTCCGGAGCTGGCGCTTCCGGAGTTTTCGCTGACCCTCCGGGAGGCGGACGGGGTCAAAGTGAAAAACAGGCACCACGGCCCCTTGGGAAATGGCCATGGGGCGTTTCAACATCCAAATCGGATTGGCCCTCCCAAAAAAAAAGATGGCATCGGCTTCCTAGAAGCCGTAACTAAACTTTGAGAGTCCTCAAAGCGGCCTTTCTCCTTCGATGGTAGTGAGGTTGTCTTGGTCGGGTTAACAGCCTTGAGGGGTCCTTCTTTTTTGTCACCCAACTCGATGCGCTATTTCACTCGTAGCCTGTGTGTCATCGCAGGGCTTTTTTTTTCCGTGCCGGTCTCTTGTGGATCCGTACTTCCCGAGTCCAGTTGACTTGAGGTCGATTGGATGTGTCCAGAGTATTGGCATGAACAACCCTACCATCGCATTCCACCCCAAAATGAAAACTCATACCCACATTGGTGTGGCTCAAAATGAAAGAGCCAGGGCAAACCGCAGGTGTTAGTCCTTTCCAGAGATAAGTCTAGTACATGTTTTTGTGAGCCACAGCCGTACTTCCCCTTTTTCAACATCTCCCTGGTCGTTGCCGTGTGGCTGTGGGTCAAGACCAATGGGATCCCATTTTGGTTGGTAGGTGAATGCACCACCCATTTTAGGCTTTATTTTAGTGGTTGGATTGGGTTGTTCACTGCGACCGGGCTTTTGACTGGGGTGGGGCCACCCATTGGTTTAAACATGTCTAATCCACTGGTTATGATGATTCCTCCCTTGTAAAGGTGGTGCTTAACCCATATTTTGCCCCACCCATGGCCCCATGGCCATGTGGAAACTCCCCTCGTTTTCTGGTGCCTCTGACCCCGCGGAGGTGAGCGGCCGGGAGATGCAGCTCAGCGTGAGCACCGGCACCACGGTGGCCCAGCTCCTGCAACAGGCGAGGTGAGCCCTTCTTCTTCTTTTTTTTTTTCTTTTTTCCTCTGGTCAATGTTCAGGAGGGTGCCAAAACACACACACAAGCCAATTGGTCCCAGCAAAGAGTATGGTTTCTGGTGTCGTGGGCCAAGAGAAAAGATATATATATATATAGATATATATGTATGTATCCTTTTGGTGTAAACCATGGGGAGGAAAAGATTTGTGCAAGCCATAGGACACATGGTCCGTTTTTGTTCTTCTTCTCTCGGGAATTGGCTAGTGTTTGTTTTGGCTCTGCACCCTTAAGGCTGGTAAGGGAGGCCACAAGGACTACCATCTTGGTTGGGCCCCCATTTGACAATTGCCCATGAGGACCCAAGTAAGAGGACCCAACGCCATTTTGTACAAGTGGGCCGGTTTTCCATACTGAAGGCGATTAATAGTTCGAGTCAAGCATAATGCAGGGGATGTACCAGGGGATCATTTCTGGGCGTGTTTGAGGGATCCCTTTTTAAGATTGGTTTAAAGGGGAATCAGACATGAAATCACATTTTTTGAGGTCAGATGGGTGTGTCTAAGAATAGAGGTACCCCAGAATGGTGCTGTCCCTTTGATTTTCCTGTAAAATAAGCCCAAAGCACCCTCAAATAGAGACACATAGGGATCAAACCAAGGCAGTGTTTGCTTCGCGCGCGAAGTGTCGACTGTGTTGACCGTTGCTTTCGCCAGGTGCAGCAGGAGCGGGATATCAAGCAGCATCTGGTGAAGCTGGCGAGAGGTGACAGCCCCTTGCCCCCCCTTTTTCTTGTTTTCCCAGGGTGTTGATGGTTCTCCGATGTTTTCCCTGGGTTTTGGATGGCTTTCGGATGTTTCCTCGGGTTTGGGCAGGTTTTCCATTTTTGCGCCAGGTTTTGGGTGGTCTCCGATGTTTTTCCGGGGTTTTCGGTCGCTGTGTGAAGGAAGGAGTTGCTGCGTTGCTTTGAATGACCTAAAACATCACACTGTCCGGTGATGGCTTGATTTTGTTTTGAATTAACCCACCAGCGAATCAACATATACGAGGGTTGTCACCCGGTGGGTCTGCAAATAGGGTTCCCCCCTCCAAACAAATAGTGGTGGTATCCCTTTTAGTTGTGCTGTCATCCCACCCCACAAAGGTACCCTCAAAACATGACAACCCCGAGAAGGGTGGTCACTTGTGGTTTAACTAGGTTCGCGAATCAATGCCTGTCTCTTATGTTTCCACTTGCTGGCAATCAATTTAGGGGCATGCTTTTGATTTGGTACCCACAATTTTTAGGTCCGTGTTGTTTGCCACATCCCCACCTTCAGACTTTTTAGGTCACACTTACATGCCCAGTGTTCCCAGTTACCACTATAGGCAACCACTGGGAGCTGTGAATTGCTGGTGAATTTGGCTTTGCGTTTTTGGTCGACCCGTCAATCTGGTAGGTGTCCTTTCAGTTTTCTTTAACCCCAATCAACTACCCTCACAAGACATTTGTGGCGGGTTGTCGAAACGGCTATACCTTTCCTGTTTGACCCTACTTGCATGCATGAACATAAATCCGAAATTGTGCGTTCCGGCCATGGTTAACATCAATACGCTTAGTCAAATTGCCTTATTGATTCTCAAGAAGGCGGACCCTTTTAAGGGCAGACCAACGGAAACTGGCCATAGGGGGTACCCTGCTTGGGATTGGCTAAAGGCTAAAGGGAAGCCGAGAAACTCTCAAATGTGGAAAAGAGTCAGCAAATGCACAGATGCAGGCCAAAAAAAAAATACCATTACAGGAACCCATTGTCGGGTAGTTGTCAAGGCAAACATCAAAGCGTTTTTCTTTTTTTGACCATAATTTAACACATACCCGAGTGGCTGTCCTTTCAGGACCGGTTCCACAGTCTGGTTCCCGTGATGCGAGGGGTACGCTCAAAAGACAGCCCTTTTGAGGGCGTCTCTAACTTGGGGGCCCCGACTATGGCCTGCCCTCAACCAGTGAAGCCCGCCTTCTCTTGACAACCCTCCTCCTGAAACGAGGCATTTTGCAAAGCCCCAATATGTAAAGGGAAACCAACAGGAACACCAAAGCCGCCTTGGCTTTCACCCCCCCATGGCAAGCCGGAAAGAAAGACAGGATAGAAGATCTGAGGTCATCCACCATCTACACCTCACTCCCTGAGTTCCTGGGCTTGCTTACTTTTCGGGAAGACCATTTCAGTGGCAACCAACTGCTTGGGCTTCTGGTTGCCACAACCGCTTGTTCGGGGGTGAGTTACTGTCGGCTTCTGCCAATTCTCCAAAAAAAGGACCAACGACCTACTGTCCACTAACACAGAACCCAGGGTCTCTTTTTCCAGTACCCCTCGGTCAGGTTCTTGAGTCCCTCAGTTCAGGTTGACCACTGGATGTCTTTCTCTTTGTTCTCAGGGGTGCTTGGTTGTTCTTGGCGATGGGCTTGGGGTTTCCATTTTACATCTCCCGCCCTTTTTTCGGTTCAACGCTCTGCACTCTCTGCGCTCGGCGCTTGACCCGCCCGCCACGCCTCACGCGTGGGGCACCGAGCATAGGTGTCCTTTTTGGTTGATTTGGTTGAAAAACAGAGGGCTATTCCTGGTTTACCTGTTGGTTCAATCAACTAACCAGCCAAGTGTTCAACCAAAATGGACTGAATGGGAGTGTCTTTTTCTCAGGGTGCACTCTGTGGGGTCAGAAATGGAAAGCCAAAGGGAACACCACCATTCCCTAATTTTGAGGTGTAAAATCAGAAAAGAAACGACTAGGAGTCTAGGAGCCTCGTTGAATTCAGCACTGGCCTATGGCGCCCCGCGCCCGAGGCTTTTTGGAGCTCCGCGCGGACGCCACGCTGGGCGACCTGGGCATCGCGGAGCCCACGGAGCTCACGCTGCTGCAGCGGGCGCCCAGGCGCCGCATGCGCCGGATGCGCCGGATGCGCCGAATCGGCGGCGCCAGGGGGTTGCAGGGCGCCCTTTGAAGGGTATGAGTTTTTTTTTTTTGTTTAAGAAAACACTTTACATAGTACTATTATTATCATTACTATTACTGTTATGATTACTGTGTTTACGTAATTGTTTTTAATACATAAGCCGGCGGCCTGTCTTTTTGTTGTTCTTAAATTGACCGAGTATTTGACCACATGTCTCAATTGAAGGATTCCAAAGTATGGAGCAGAATCAAACCTATGGGTTTTGGTCGGGGGCAATCCATGGGGAGCTGTTTGTTTCGTTCTGATAAAAGAACAATTGCACACAATGTGTTCAATAGTTCAGCCCAGGTTGGTTTGTTTAGTCGTTTGCTTGTTCGTTTATTAGATTTGTTTGTTTGTTTGTTTGTGTGTTTGCTAAGAAGGAATCTCACCAAGGGTTTTTGAAGACAAACAGGTGTTTCAACGCATTGTTCAGGGTCTTTTGAACCAACTGCGTGTTTCAACCAGAGTGGGTAAACCACCCCCAGTTGCTCATGGGATATTTTCAGCATTCCCAGTTTTGGAGGGCCAGGCCATCACTGAAACTGTTTAGCTCCAGCAACTGGGAAGCGAAGGACGTGGTTCCAACATGCTTCAGCAAGTCGTCGAATGTCAATCGGACGGCCAAACCACGGTTGGCCTCCTTTGTTCCTTGGGAAGCCGCAAGAGAGATTGTTTGTAGCCAGTATTGAAGCGAGGCCACTTTTGGTAGACTGCTGTGCACCTTCATGGGAAGTGATTTGACGGTCCCTGTATGGTTATGATTTTTGATGAGGAATACTCCCAAATGGTTGTTGGACATAAGCCGCCACCAAAATCGAATCATTTCTACCAGTGCCCCAATTAAAAATCACACCCATCCTTGCCCTTGAAGGGTGGTTTGAAGCTTACTTGAGCTTCCAGCTCCCATGTGGTCGCTGATGTTCAGAGACCTGTTCTCGCGACTCCGCTGGAGGGCGGATGGGGCAACTTGCCGAGCAACACCCACCTGTTTGATCTCTCTCCCTTCTTGCTTGGTAGCTTCCCCTCGTGGTGAGTGACACCTGAGGAGCCCCTCGGTGATAATGTCCTACTTGGGTGGCTCCTGTTTTTTTAGGGTGCGGCATCACAAGGGGTAGGTTCCAAAAGAGTGAACAGGGTTGCAATTCTTTCTCTACTAGTTCGGATTCGGATCCCAGCAACCAACCTCCCAGAAAACGTAGACAATATATGCGCTTTACCCCAGTCATGACCATTGATCTGAAAGTATCAACCACAACCCCATTCGAGGTATTTGGGGGTATCAATGCAGGTATCACCCTAAAGCTCACCTGCCCACAGCTGACCTTTTTGAGTTTTTGGTCTCTCCGCTTTGGTCCTTAGTCATGACACCAAAAGGCGAAGCGATTTTTTTCTGGGTCCCGGAAAGCCAGCTGAGAGATTTGCTGGGCGTCCTTTTTTCACCTTTCTTTTGGGTCTTTTGAGAAAATTTCCATGGGGACTGGATCGACGGATCCCGATCCGGGCCAGGGTCATCCAGGAGCCTGGGCAGAGCCAGTGGAACAGTGACTACGTCTGCGAGGAGATCCCATCAAAAATTTCAGGGAAACGGGCAGAGCCGATGGCTTGGATTCGTGGGCTCATGCTGCCTCGTGCTTCTGCTCATGCTGGTTTCATGCAGGTCTCATGTTAGGTTGGTTTCATGTTGCTTTCATGCAGGTCTCATGTTGGATTCATGTTGGTCTCATGTTGCTTTCATGCTGGTCTCGTGTTACTTTCAGGTTGGTTTCATGTTGGTCTCATGCTGCTCTCCTGTTGGTCCGCTTTCATGCTGGTCTCGTGTTACGTTCAGGTTGGTTTCATGTTGCTTTCATGCAGGTCTCATGTTGGATTCATGTTGGTCTCATGTTGCTTTCATGCTGGTCTCGTGTTACTTTCAGGTTGGTTTCATGTTGGTCTCATGCTGCTCTCCTGTTGGTCCGCTTTCATGCTGGTCTCGTGTTACGTTCAGGTTGGTTTCATGTTGCTTTCATGCAGGTCTCATGTTGGATTCATGTTGGTCTCATGTTGCTTTCATGCTGGTCTCGTGTTACTTTCAGGTTGGTTTCATGTTGGTCTCATGCTGCTCTCCTGTTGGTCCGCTTTCATGTTGGTCTTATGTTGCATTCATGCTTTTCTCATGGTGGATTCATGTCGGTCTCATGTTGCTTTTATGCTGGTCTCATACTGCTTTCATGTTGGTTTAACGTTGCTGTCATGCTGGTTTCATGTTGGTCTGTTGTTGGTTTTTCTTTGCCTGCCTTCCCTTTGTTTCTTTTTGGTTTGAGGGATTGCGCAAGGGATCCTTCCCTTTGCTTAAGGCCGCTTTTTCTGTCCCCGAGATGGAAGTAGGCCTTGGTGTTCCATGAGATGCTTTACGGGCTTCCAGTTCAACCATGCTTAAATATCCGAGGGAACCCACTCAAAGTGGGTGGACATGAACACTCACACTGTGCCAGTTTTTTTTGGGGCCCATGGCCACTGGGCGAGTGAACCCATTTAGCACACCCGGAAGGTATCAACCAAAAGCAGATACGGAACCTATATTTGCCACTGACCAAATGTTCAGAACTAATCAAAGCGAACACATGCCATCTTAATTTAACCCCCCCCCCCCCCACGGCCCAAAGAGGGTCATTTTGCAACCGTTTAGGGCATACCCTTCTAGGTCAGCATCAGCACCGGGCAAGTGCAAGGTAGCAAGGGACAATCCCAACAATAGGTGCGGCCGACCTCTTGATTCTTGGCATGACTTGGGGTATATGTTTCGGCAGGGAGGCATCTCCTGGCAGCTGCAGGCACACCCCAGGCTAACCACTCTTAAGCTGAGTGTATACCCTTCAGCCAACTCCGATCTGGACAACCCGCAAAAATGTTCTGGAACCCCTGAATTTGCGGGTGGGGGTGGGGGTGGATGGTTGGGGTGCGGTTTGGGAGTTGGTTTAGGGTTGGTTCACGGTGAGTTCAGGGTTGAGTCGGAGTTAGTTAGGGTTTAGGGTAAGTTGTGGGACTTGGCTTGTCAACTGCACGGGGTCCGACGGCAGAGAGGGGGTGGGGCATGTGGGGTGTCGGGGTCGGGTTTTGGGTTTTGGGTTTTAGGTTTTGGGTTTTGGGGGGGATAAGGCCTGGGGACTGGAACATACAAACATGAACAGGGCTCCTTAAAAGATACATTTTGCAACCATTTGAAACATGGCTTTTTCCACCAAAATAGAGGGAACCCACCATTTACAAGGCAATGTTCAGGTGTATAATGTAAGGATCCCTGTTGAAGCATAAACACCACACACACGCATCATGAACACATCACCTAGACGCATCCTTGTTCTACCACGTTTGAATCAACGTTTTGTGCTTCAAAGCCTTCCGCCGCTTTGAAGAGAGCGCCAGGTCTTGGAGATCCAGGAGGTGGGCTTCGGGGAGTCTTTGGATGGATCAGGGATCGATGGAGCGGTGAGGCAAATGGGATTTTTAACTCAAGAGAACAACGAGGAAATGGAGGAACAACAGAGGAAACGGATGTAGCACCGGGCTTTTTAGATGGGTTGTTGGGGACATTCCCCCAGGTTTCGTAGAGTCAACTTTTGGGACTGGGGAGTTCATTTCGGGGTTTCGGGAATGAACCGGAACGGACATGGCACCAATTCGGGCTCGTTCCAACTCATCCCTGGCGAGCCCGGAAACAAACTTGAGTCCAGAAAGCAGCGCAATCTTTGAAACTTGTCATATCATCGATCTAGTCGGTCCATTTGTTCTGCTCTGATTTTCCCTATGTTTCCTTTAATCCCGAACTCGATTGCCTGAACAAATTCTTCGCATTTGTTTCGCGTTCCGAAGCTCCGAGGAGCTGACGCTGGGCTTCAAAGTGCGGGGGGACGGGTCCCATGGCTCCTTGCAGGATCCCAGTAGATCCAGGCGGGGAGCTTGAGACGGAAAGACGTGAAGACGGGGAACCCAAAGATCTGTTTGTTTGGTCTTCATGGGAAAGGATAAATTCAAATCAAAGAAAGCAAGACAGCAAGAAAGCAAGACAGCAAGAAAGCAAGAAAGCAAGAAAACAAGAAAGCAAGAAAGCAAGACATGAAAGAAAACGGAAAACAATGAAACAAGAAAGAAAGAAATGAAGAAACAATATATAAAAGAAAGAAAGAAAGAAAGAAAGAAAGAAAGAAAGAAAGAAAGAAAGAAAGAAAGAAAGAAAGAAAGAAAGAAAGAAAGAAAGAAAGAAAGAAAGAAAGAAAGAAAGAAAAGAAAGAAAGAAAGAAAAGAAAAAGAAAAGAAAGAAAAAGAAAGAAAGAAAGAAAGAAAAAGAAAGAAAGAAAGAAAGAAAGAAAGAAAAGAAGAAAGAAAGAAAGAAAGAAAAGAAAGAAAGAAAGAAAGAAAGAAAGAAAGAAAGAAAGAAAGAAAGAAAGAAAGAAAGAAAGAAAGAAAGAAAGAAAGAAAGAAAGAAAGAAAAGAAAGAAAAGAAAGAAAAGAAAGAAAAGAAAGAAAAGAAAGAAAAGA